TCTACCTGGTAGCCCAATTTAAAAAGGTTTATAAAGGTTCTGTATAGTAAGAGATACGATAATTGAGTTTTTGTGAGAGGTAAGTAGTGCAGTATCGTCGGACAGTAAAGTATGGACGTGCTCTGATAAGTTAGCTGTCAAATGTTGAAAAGTAATGGTCCAGTACACTGCCTTGTAGAACTCCTGCCCCAACACGTTTCAAGTTGGATAATTAGTTGCCTGCATTAAGTGACTCTGTCAAAAAAGAAAGTAAGGAAGTATCAGTATATGAAATCTATATATTTATGACTAATGCTAAAGAGTAAAAACTAAAAAGATTCATTCAAATAAGTCCTTATTATGATCTGATTTAATGTTAAGATTTTATCTAACTTGACTAGGAGATAATTCAGACGGATTTTAAAGAGTAAGTATTATTGGAAGTTTGGAAAGTTATTAAGAGAAAAATTCGGGATTTCAAAATACCCGAAAATGAGATATCCATCAAATTTTATCGTCAATAAGAAAAAAAGTCTCTGAGTTTATAGTCATAAGAATATGCAAAAGACCTTCTTGAAGAACTTTGAGAAGAACGTGATTGCAGAGAAAGATATTCTCAAATTTCTTTTTTAACACAGAATTTCTTTCTTGTAATTAAATAGGACACTAAATAAATATTGTTTGTACTAAAATATTATGAACAGTGAAACAAATATTTACAATTTAATTTATAGGTGCTGTGTGTTCTTAACCCTTCCCTGATATGAGATAATAATTTCTAATTATTTTATAAGGGATTTTTAATTTATTTTTTGCTATGGCTTTGATTTTTCTTTTCAATAAATAACACAATTGTAAAGTAGTCATAAATAGTATTGAATATTTTCACTCCCAACGCCAGAAGCACGGAGTTTTCAAATAAAATGGTATATATATAAGGCTAAAACACAAATATAGACACAGATATAGATACAGATATAGATACAGATATATATATAGATATATAATAATAGGAAGGATATAGGAGAGGCGAGGTACTTGTTGAGCTCCGCCCAGTCTCCTATCGACCGCTGAGCCACGCCTTCCACAGTCCACGTCTCTGCTTCCTCTTTCCCATTTCCGGATTCATTTACTTCACTTCAGCCTCCGGCAGGGCTACCAACCTTCACGTCAAATCGACAGGCTTGATTAAATAGACTCCAGAAGGCCATTTACCTCCCTCCGAAGAGGAAGGCATCGACCACTTAAGGCATCCTATTTTTGGCTTCAAGAGAATACTCCCATAACTCTTTAAGTTACTGAACTCCCAATCGTTTAAGCAGACTGAAATAACAAGTAATATCTCGTTGTATAACGACTCTTTACAATAAATTGTACAACTTCTACAATAAATAGAAAAACGTTCTAAATCCATTTCAAAATACTTAATTATATATATATACCTATAGGTTTTCTTCATATTCGAAGCTCCAACAACTTAATTATTTAACACTGTACGAGTATTGCTGCACTTTGATCAATGGTCTAAGTTCTCATACTCACGCTACAGATGGAATTCCATGAATGACCGTGTATTTGTCAATTCAGGGTAACTTCATATATTTGACGACTTCCTAAAATTCCAAACTGGTCCTTATCGGTTTACACCAGGGCCCTGAGTAGCTTCAATTACATCTTTATCGTTCGCTACGCCCGCTCAAAAGGGGAATCATACCATCAATACAACGGTGGTTCGGCCACTCTCGTGATCTGTCGAACACATTCGGCAATCTCGAGATTCCATTTAGAGCGCGATTATGAGATCTTGAGTCATCTATCAAAGTGGAGGAACACTTGTGCAGTAGTATCATATATTGCTTCTTAACTAAAGCCTTATTAATCGAAAACCTTCGTAAATTCTTAAGCCTTTATTACAAGTCAAATTATTAATAATTATTTGAAGATTAGGTCATAAATAGGTACCAATCCTTACAGTAATAAATTGGCCCATTCCAATATAAACGCATCAGTTTCAAAAATCACTTCACATAAATTATTTTATAATCCTCCAAACCGAATAAACAAAAATTCCACCGGATATAAATGGATACAGCTTCGTTTCTGTGAGGTTAAAAATTGTTATTCCTTACTTGCTACATGCAAAATTCTCTGCATAATAATAACTATACCCTCCAATTTATTATAATCTCAGTTTGATTACCGGCTCAGTTCCATCTTGTTACAGAGAAGTACATAATTTTTTGTAATTTTTGGAATCATTTCAAAAGAAAGTAGTTCGCCTGAGAGACGGGTGTTAACATTAACGTAGTCAATTCTATTCGTCCAGCAGACATGTATAACCAGTAATGTCTCTTTTTATTATGTATTGAGAGGTATTGTTTGTTGAATTTGTTTATTTATTTATTTTGTATTTGTATCAATACCTGTTCAATCCTGTTTCTTTACTATTCATTCACACCTTACCGATTGCTATGAAAGATAACCTCATTAATAATGATCACTTCCGTTCCGTCATTGTAAAGTTTACCGGCTCTATCATAGTTTATTTGTGTGTGTATATGCCCGCGCGCATTAAGGGTGTGTGTTTCACCAATGTTTTAAGCAATAACAAAGAATATTAAAACTACGTTATCCCTCATTTAGTAAAATGATTTTTTTTTTTTTTCATTCTATTATAAAGGTTTCAATTGCCAAGATAAAATATCTTTTAAACTTTTTTATAAACTTAGATGAAAGACATTACTTATCAGGAGTAAATAAAATTAATTTTATTAAAATTATATTGAAATTTCGGGGACAATTACTGTATCTTAACAATACTGTAATGAGGAGTGAGCGACATAGATTGTGTAGTCTCCATAATTTTAATGTAATTGAGGATGTATTCCAAAACGTCACTTTTTCCTATTTCACAAGAAAATAAAGAAAATGAAGTATTTTTTAAAATAAACTCCTTTAGGGAGGAGTTGGTCCGGAGTGGGAGTCATAAATAGACTAAATAGTGGCAAAACTATTTTATTAAAAGCCAACGTTTCGACCCGACTTTGCAGGTCTTCTTCAAGGCCAAGATACAACGGACAAGATACAAGTTTGTTTTTCTATGGACTATACAATAATTTTCTTTTCATAAGTAATGTCCTATGTGAAAAATGTATTTATATATTGTTATGTCTATTTTTCATATTATATCCTTTTTCCTTTTCTTTCAATCTCTCCTGTAGATCTGTAGAAGTATATTCACATTTGCATATATTATATATTACACTACAACAATTGTTACCATCTATTTACTTCAGTTTAGGATCTTGTTACTTAGCTTACTCTGTTTTTTTAGTGTACTTACTGTTTATAATTTTAATAAGCTTATTCACATTGGTTATAATCTTTTGTCTAAATATTATATAACTTCCACAAATCTCTATATTTTTTTGTATCTTGTCCGTTCTAGTCCTGAAGAAAACGTGAGGTTATAATAAAATAGTTTTGCCACTATTTAGCCTATTTATAACCGCCTCCCCGGAGCATCCCCTTCCTTTATAATGCAACGTTCAACTATTAAATATTCAATAAAGTATTTTAAGAAAAAAAAAACAATAGATTTTAATGAACTGAGATAAACTTACTGAAATAGTGAAGATTGGGACAGTTTAATCAAAGAATAAGTTTTGAGTAAGGAGTAAAATATATAACACTCTTCTGATACATAAACCAAAGTATAATAAATATATATAATCAGACAAATAAACCAAAAATTATTAACTTCTAAGTTGTTTTGTCACTGCTAAGTTTATTTAGATAATATATATATCACTAACAAGGACGTTTGATGTATTCAATATTCTTTATTATTTATGTATAAATTGTAGAGGCATTTATGTATAAACACTTAGCGGACGGTTTTATACCGGGCCAATAAAATCTATTTTTTTTTTTTTTTTAACTAAAATAAAGCAAACTACCTACAAAATTCGTCGAGGCACACTCATAAAAAATTAATAATAAAAAGAAACATTTATCTATTACTTGTAGTATCAGCTACAACGAATAGAATCTACGTTTATTATAAATTATTTGTATTAAAAAAAAAAACAAAGTTAGCAATTGTACTACTTCAATGATATTGATTGTAGCGCCCTTACTCAATCTCCGCTGGCTTTCAATGCCAGTGAAATGGTTGAGGAAGAAGCGCAGGGATCTCCTGAAGCCTTGCTTTCCCTCCACGTGTGGGGGGATAAGTATGGTTCGGAGTTCCCATGGCTGACTGTAAATAGTGTAAATAGGTATGCCTGCATATAAGATGTTTAATTTCATTACTTTTTTTTTTTTTAAGATAATTTTAATTCTATTTTATTCATTTATTTTCATTCCATTATTACTATTATTTATATTTTCTTTCTTCACTATGATATTTTATTTTGTTCTTTTGTAGATTTATATTATTTGAAGTTAGCTTTTTTTTTTTTTTTATTTATTTGTAAATATGGTGTGAATGTGCTCTCAGAACTCTATTATAAATGTCCTTTATTGAGACAGATTGTAATATTTATCAATAAAAAAATAAAATATAAAAAAAAATTATATTGAATTTCTAAAGATTGTAAAGACAGTTTTCACCTAATTTAACCTCACCACACTTGACAGGATCAAAGCGATTGGTGTCATCAAGGATCTAATTATAACAGGCCCTTGGTAACTTACCCCTAACAGAGTGGCTCATAATAGACAGTTGAGCAGGGCTTATAGACAATCTGGGAAACATCAATTTCTTCTTAAATAATTAAAAGTATTGCTCAATAAATAATATAAATAATTCCGCAAATATAGAATTTAATTAGGAAACCATCTAAGTTTGTTATACTTCGATACTTACATTTCTATAACTGTAAAATTAGTTTTAAAGACAATAATTTTATTTTGTTTTCATTTATCATGAATATTATAAAATTATTCAAGGCTTAATTTTATAATTGTCAAAAAAAGAGAATATCAAATATTTAATCATTTTAAAATAGTTTAATTACCTATAAATATATTCAGTACCAGGCAGCATTTTCATTTCATACACACCTGAAAAAGAAAAAAAAAATATCGTAAATAAAATATATCAAGAAATAATATTTAATCATGGTTTATAAAACTTGATAACTGTATAATAAAAATACAGTCTTAGATAAACTATGACATCAGAAATGGAATATATCGAACTTTTAAATGTCGCTTGAATAAAAATAAATCAAAACGACACAAAAATTTAGAAAATATTTTTTTTTTTAACTCCGTCTCAAAATTTGAGATTTCACGTTTCAGGATACGTAGAATTCGAAAAACGAATACAGATTTTTTTGTCGGTCCGCCGTTCGCCCATTTTCTCCGAAACTACTGGACAGATTTTTTTCAAATTTGGATATAAAATCAGAGGTCACCCGAGGGTAATCCTCCTTCATCGACATTACCATCCGCCTTTTACTTTCAATATTGCGGCCGAAAAACCTGCGTTGTTATAGACTGTAGGGTCTAAACGAATGTACCGATTTCAATGAATCTTCGCTAAAGTCATTATCTCGACGCCCTTTAAATTTGTCTATATAACATAGTTCAACGAAAAGGAGCTGGAAAAAAAGTTACAAGAGATGGTAAAATTAAATTCCGAATAACTCAAAAAGTTTACATTTTTTCGTGGATATTGTATGGTTATTTAAATGTTTACGGAATCTCGTAAAAAAATCCCAGGAATTTCATTCAAGATGTTTTTATTGGATTAGCCGTTTCGAACCCAACAGTTCTTGTCCCGACTTTCGAAAGATAGCCCAAAGGATGAACCACGTGTTTGGATCGAAACGTCGGCTAACTCAATAAAAATATCTTGAGTGATATTTCTGATAATTTTGTTTCATCCGTATAATTGATCAGTCGACTGCTTACCCATCTCTAATAAAAGCGTTTTATCTCTAAAGGATAACCGACCTGTTTTATAAAAAAACAAAAAAAAAACATTAAAACAATAACAGTAAATGTAGAACATTCATTCATAAAAATAAATAAATAGAATTTTAGTTCTTTTGTTTACTTAATTATTAATAATCATTAATTATTAACTATTATTTACTTCGTTTACTTGTTTAATTATTAGATATTAAAAATATATTTTTTTTATTCTTCACATGAAAACCAATAAACCTATTGGTCATATTAATTAATCATAAATATGAATTAATGAATTTACTGAAAACAAATAAGATTTTTTTCTTTTTTACGTTTCTTTAGATTGTGCCCAATCCCATTCCAAATCAAGAAAAGATCAATGTGAGACACAAACGTGCAGGTCATCTCCTCTGAAGTAATGCAAGACGATCTAAGGGAACTGACCTGGATTCTAGATTGGAAAAATCCTCCTTCCCCCTTGAAAGGGGTCGGTATCCGACAGATGAAAAGAAATAGATGTAAAGTGGGTAGAGGCACAGATAGTAGCAAAGGCAAAACTTTTCTTTAATACCATGTCTAAAGTAATAAAACATAAATTTATCTTTATACCGAAACCGTTCAACTCGAAAACTACCATTATATAAACGTAACTGAAATCAATAGCAGTGTTTGTAGAACACACATATGTATCAAACTGTAACTCAAAAGATTTGAGTTAACATCACAACGTTGAAATAAATATAATCATTAAATTAGACTTTTTAATTTAAACATGATATTTTCTGCCCTTGATTAAACATCGCTGTTTAATGTGCAGGCAGAGAGGAAAAAAAAATTATAAACAGCTTCCTTCTTTGTGATGAGAGTAAATATGCTATACTTAAATAAACAGTTAACATTTATATAAATATTTATTTGTAGTTTTCAAAAAGTATCAATTTAGATTTTAGGTAATTAAGTTGTCTATTAGCATAGGCAGAGAAAAAAAAAACGGTACTCATATAATGGGTAAAACTTTAACACCATTACTGTTAAACGACCGAATATAATATTTAAAAATAAATTTATATGTATGTTTGAACAGTTGCAGGATTTTTTTTTTTTTTTTTTTAATTTTTATGGATAAACTTGAATATATCTGAAGATAACAGTTCGATATATTACAATTTGTATACATTAAACCTGGGAGGAAGGGCGACCGCCTCCATAACATCGGTAAATTTATAGAACTTTTTCAGATAAAAATGAATAATGTTAAAAAATAGTTTTTAATTTCTTAGTTTGTACAAGCTAAATAAAAATAAAACATTTTCACAGTCTGACTAGTTATGTAAACATGTACATAAAAACATTTGCATAAAATATATTTATACTTGTACTTATTAAATATATGTTTTCCAACTTTACCATAGAAACTTTATGAGAAAACCACGTGAAAATGGAATTGTCCAGATGAAAGCTGAATTATTATCGCTGAATGTAAATGAAAATTTAAATAATAAGGAACCACTACATCCCGAACTCTTCAATCACACATCACAAACCTTGAAGAATCGGGTCGAAACTGGAGGATTAAAATAAATTATAAAAAACCCATCAAATCACCTTTACCCTTCGCCGTAAACCCATAACCTCCTGTCCTACAGTATCCTTTAATAATACACTACTTATCCCTGTTGAACAAATTCGATACCTTCGACTCCACTTGGATAAACGTCTAACTCGGAATCCTCATACCAGACTGAAACGACAAGAAACCGCTCGACGTTTCCGACTACTCCAATACTTAGTAGACAAACGCTCTAAGCTTCCAGTTAATTACAAAAGACTCATATACATATACAATAAGACCTATTTGGACTTACGGAGTTGAGCTTTGGGGCTCGACTAAGCTATCGAATTCCTCTCGTATCCAATCCATACAATCCAAAATCCTCAATGTTCCTTACTTTGATAATAAAATAATCCATAACGACCTTAATGCTCCTTTTGTTTCCGATTCGGCCCAATCCAGATACCTATCCTTCCATAATAAACTTCAGAACCATCCGAATCCCCTCGTTTCTAGCCATGCTTCCTCTTCTATCTCTGATAACCCTCCAAAGCGTCTGAAAAGAAGATGGCCACGAGATCTACAATTGTAAATAATTTTTTTTTTTTTAGAGTGCTACCAGCGGGTAGTTTCTCAACAAGTGATTTTATGTTATTATTTTCTGTAATCAAATTTACTGTTGTTTTTTACTGTTGTGTTATCAAATGTATTTTGTTTATTAATACAGTTGTAAATACCATAAATAAAAAAAACTAATAAGGAACATTTGCGTGATAGTTTATATAATAGTTACGTACCTACTTGGAGGCCTTAGTCTAGCTAGCTAGTCATAGTTTCTCAATCGGTTTTAGTTCACATATTTTATTTAATCATGTGGCTTATTTGTTATCAATTTTAAATTATTAAGGAGGAGAGTCGTCTTCCTCGTCCCGATGTCTCTAAGCTTATCGCAAACAATTTTTTGTACATCAAAATCAATTAGAGATGATTGATTTGGGTCACACTAAATATTTTTGATATACAATTGTCAAGAAATAATTAACTATTGTGTTATAATTTGCAATGTTTTTTATGAACTTGACTGTTGGGTAAATACGGTAAAATTGGGGATGGATAATCGAATTTCCAACGTATGATCTAAAGCGAAATATTTAAGATATTTCAGTGTCCCTCAACAAATCATGGGAATACCGTTAACACATTGCCTATAACAGAACCTTCCCGCCGTTATTTATACACATTAAAAAAGAATTTCTATGTGTTAATGACATGTTTAAGATGCGAATATAACAACTCTAAATAATAAGTTAGAATTGGTCATCAGCAGTATATATTTACGCAAAGAAAATGTATGAAGAAGAAATAATTAAAGTTTAAAGAAGTCAGCAGGGGATGTTTTACGGACGGGAAAAAATCCCATTAATATAATTAAAAAACAAAATCGCTAAAAGAAAACTATAGATTTTCAGGACTTAGACTGTGGAATCTATTTTACTTAATAAATTATAAAATGGTACAAACCAATCCGTTTTAGACTCACCAAAAAACTATCATTCCTAAATTGCCTCACTGTACACATAAATAAACTACTGCAAATACTAAGTATTGCGTTACAAAAAAAGTTAACTTATATCTATAAAAGAAAACCAACACCTGGATACCCTTGTGAATATCCTTGGGCCACATGCTCATCTGCTTCTAGGTACATCGCCTCCTTAAGACGATGGGTAGTCAATATCTCAAATATCATTTGAATCCAATATCACACTAAGTCCTACCAAAACATTTATGAAGTAATTAATAATAGTAAAACGTTTACCAGACTTTTTTTTCAATAGTAATAATTTTTATTTTACTGATAATTTTGTAATGGAATTTGAAATGTTTAATTTAACCCTATTTTTATTGTAAGATCAATTTTTTTCTTTAAATTTACAAATTTTAATTTTTATAAAAATCAAGAATGGATGAAATTCACCTTCTATTAACTTTATCTAATGTAAAGCATAGAGCCATAATACCAAATGCACTTGATTGTAGCAGGTTGTATTGTCATTATTATTCAAATAAATCAATTAACCTCTCCAATTAAACGTTCTAAATTCTCTGATTAAGCTAAAAGCTAAATATTTTAGTATTGTGTAGCTAATTTTGAACATAATCAGGGATCATCACTGAATCACAAATAAAAAAATAATAAAAAATAATTCTATTAGTCATCACCACCATTTTATACTCAAATTCCTGCACAGTTGAGTCTCAGTCTATAAAGTGAAGCGTTGTCGACATTCTAGATTTTTATTGCAAATGATAATGATGGGGTAAGCTCAACTGAAAAAACATGGTGTATGAAGGATGGGGGGATGAAATACCTAGCCACCACAAGCAACCTCAACACTAAATTTTAATCACAACTGAATAAGCTGATACATTTCGCTTCACCACAAATCATCAGATTCTAGTTTTCGTCATGTAAGTAACTATATTAATTACAAAAATATAATATCACAAACCTCAAAGACCCCTTTGTTTTTGTTTTTTCCGTTTATATTTTCATTTCACTTATCCTCATTTGAGGAATCTGCACAACTTT